GACAGAGAGAGAGAGAGGAAGGAAGGAAGGAAGGAAGTGACGCAGGCAGAAGAGGTAATAAAAGAAGCCTGGAAACAGAAAGGAGCATGTGGGCTGTCTGGAGTCTCCCTTTCCTAAGTATTTTAACTTGGGCATCTACAGAGGACTTAAGTGACACAGTAACCCTACTGGGTTTCTAACACATGGGAAATTACACAGGTGATTTTCTAACCTTTCCTTCCTCATGAACCACTGACGTCATCCTGCTCCTTCGGAGAGGGCTATCCTTTCTGTTTCACTCCACTTCACTCCTGATGTTCAAGTGCTCAAACCACACCATCTCCCCACTGGTTTCTCTACCTGGAGTCTCTCTCTTCTTTCAGGTAACTCTGTCTGCCGGTCAGGTGCATTTCCCTAAAACACAGCTTCTTGATGTCACCTCAGCTCAACGACTTTTGGGGCTCCTCTTTGCTTTTCTGAGCAAGTTACACTCGTTATCCAACATAGTCTTTTTATTCTTTGGCTTTTTCCCTTTCTTAGCTACACTTTGTGGCATGTGGGATCTCAGTTCCCCGACCAGGGATCAAACCCACATCCCTTGCAGTAAAAGTGAGGTGTCTTAACCGCTGGACTGAAAAGGAAGTCCCCGATATATTCTACAAACCAAATCCAATTTCAGTTTTTTAAATTATTATTTTGCTTTTTTTTTTTTTTTTTTTTTATTATTTTGCTATTTTTTGATGAATTTCCTTCAGTCACACGGGGCCACTCCTGTTCTCTGGCTCTGCTGTTTTCTCCTCTTCCTCCCCGATTCCACATGCTATTCTCTCTCCCTCTTCTGCACTATTCCCTGACCTTCTGGTCCCAAGTAAAACCTCACCTTCTTCTAAGACAATTACAATCCTAAGAAATCATTCCTTCTTCAGATTTAAGCTCAAGGAAAAGTCTCGCGTGGAAAGGCCCCCTACCCCCTAAATGTTCTTCCCTGGATGCTGAGCATTAAAAGAGAACACATGAACAAGTTCATGGCAGAGTAGTAATATGACAAATGTAACTTCAGTGTGAATTTTTTAATTGAGAAATTGTGTGATTACTCTATGAGAAGGGAGAAGTTAGATGATGACCTGTACCAACCCTTCCAATGCAGATATTCATCCAATATATCTTCCATCCCAGGCAGATATTTATTGAAGTTTCAGACTTTCTTCCACCACCATTTAAAAAAGGACCTGTCCATTGTTATGTGCCTTTCAAGTTTTTTCCCAGCTGGTATAAATTCTACATGATGGGAAGATGCTAGAGGGCCTCTGAAATTTTTTTTTCTGGCTGCACTGCACAGCATGTGGGATCCTAATTCCCCAACCAATGATAGAACCCGCACCCCCTGCAGCAGAAGAGCAAAGAATTAACCATTGGGTCACCAGGGAAATTCCTGAAATTTGTTTTTATAGTTCTCTCAAACTCCTAATGGATAGCCTATTTCTGAAAAGCTAAAGAAGGAGTAGGGAGGGCAAGCCATATGAAGCCCTTTATTCTTTTAAGGGGAAAGAAAGTTCAGTGAATTTTTTTTTCATTCCTCCACTCCTTCCATATCCTGGTGGGGAAATAGGCAAATGAAAAATAAGCCCCAAATAAACACCAGAAATTATAGAAAGGGCTTCAGTGGAAAGAGGGTGCTGATACAGAGGCTAATGGAGAATAGGGGGACAGGGGCTTAGAGGGGAGGAGTTTGTGCTCATTTTAGAGACTCAGGGAAGGCCTCTCTCTGACACAAAAGTCTTTAGGCCGAAATCTGAAGGATGGGAGGAAAGTGAATTTCAGGCCGAGGTCACAGCTTGTCCAGGGTCTTGGCAGGAAGGAGCTTAGCCGGTGTGGTGATGGCCTGAGAGGAGGCGGTGAACGAAGGAGACAGGACCAGATCATCGGGGTCTTCTAGGCTGTTATAAGGAGTTTGGATTATAATCTCAGAGCACTGGGTTGCCAGGCACAATATAGAACATCCAGATACATTTGAATTTCAGATAAAGAACAACAGTTTAGTTCAAGTGTGTTCCAAATACTGCATGGGACATACTTATACTGAAAATTTATTCATTGCTTATTTGAAATTCAAATTTAACCTGGCATCTTGCTTTTGTGTTTTTTTTTTTAAGCTAAGTCTGACAACCCTAATTGACAGGCTGCTGAAAGGTTTTCAGTAGGCAAGTGATGGGATCCAATTTGTATTTTAAGAAAATCCCTTTGCTTCTTGGAGACTGGTTTGAGGGGTGGCAACAGTTAAGTTGATGCTTTTGAACTGTGGTGTTGGAGAAGACTCTTGAGGGTGCCACGGACTGCAAGGAAATCAAACCAGTCAATCCTAAAGGAAATCAATCCTGAATATTCATTGCAAGGACTGATGCTGAAGCTGAAACTCCAATACTTTGGCCACCTGATGTGAAGAACTGATTCACTGGAAAAGACCCTGATGCTTGGAAAGATTGAAGGCAGAAGAAGAGTACAACAGAGAATGAGACGGTTGGATGGCATCACTGACTCAATGCACATGGCTTGAACAAGCTCCGGGAAATGGTGAAGGACAAGGAAGCCTGGTGTGCTGCGGTCCATGGGGTCGCAGAGAGTTGGACACAACTGAGCGTCTTAACAACAGTTAAGTGAAGGCAGTGGTTCAGGTTAGGCGTGGCTCACAGGAGCCCAGAAAAGGGATAGAGGTTGTCTCGCCTTAGAGACCAGTCTTCTCAAACTTTAATGTGCATAGAATCATCAGGGCACCTCGTTAACATGAACACTTAATTCAGCAGATCTGGGGTGGGATCTGAGGTACTGCATTTTCAATAAGTCTCCAGGAGTTGCTGACCTTGCTGGTTCCTAGACCAAAGGTCAGCAAACTATGGCTGATTGGCCAAATCTGGCCTGCTGCTTGTTTTTTGTAAATAAAATTTTATTGAAACACAGCCATGTCCATTTGTTTGCACTTCATCTATTGCAAATAGCCACTTTTGTGCTATGACGGCAATGTGAAATAGCTGCAACAGAAGACTGTATGGGCCACAAAACTGAAAAAAATATTTACTATCTGCCCCGACCTGGAAAGTTTATCTGACACCTGCCCTAGAACACACTTTGAGTAGCAAGGTCTAGACCTGGAATGTTACCAGGGAGATGGAGAGACATGGACAGATTCCAGATGTATGTGAGAGAACAGAGTGTGGTCTACACTGGCTCATTAAACATTGACTTCTGATGTGAGCCTAGGAACCCTGAACTGCAGAATCTTAAGCTGTCATGACAGCTGAGAACCTGGCTAATCAATGTTAATACATCTTAGAAATATTTATCCAAGAAGCCCAGGGAGTTCTACTTGCCATGAATTTGAATGCATATACCTCTGCACACACAGTGACTAGAAAGACATCACCTAACAGCACCTGGTAACCTGGACGAATCATTCGTCGTGCTAGCAAAAAACTGAAGCCAACCTCTGCTCACACTTACTGTTTGGCTGGTTTGCCATTTCTCCTACCTGAACTTCCATGATGTCTATTTTCTCATGAGGGGGGTGGTCTTTGCAGTACTTGCAGAAGGGGAAACTGAGGCACAGCCTTATCACTCCTTCTGCTCATTTCACCCCCAGGAAGAAACTCCCCTTTCTTCAATCTCTTCTCAGTCTCTCTTTTTTGAAAACATTATAACCATTATCCTCTCTCTACCTCCTAAAGGAAGGGACTATCCAGTGCTCACATAAGAGGAAAAACGACTTTAAAACAAAATACAAGATGATTTTAGAAGGCAGGAGAGAAACACTGCACTTTTTCTGTGCAATTTTTTTTTTTTTTTGGCGCTCCTTTAAAAGTTATGAATTTCTGGAAATAGCTTTGATTTTTTTTTTTAATCTTTCCAGGATGTTGTATTATGCAGCGATGTAGTAACATCAAATGGCAGCCTTGTGATACATACATTAACACCAACAAGTGAATTCCAGTTTCTGTAGGACGCAGTTTACTACTAGGTAGCAATTTAACACTCAGATGCTAAGCTAGCTTCTGAGGAGAGGAAGGACGCTGTTTTGCAGCTAGGCCTTGCGGCTCTTCAGTGTTCCTAGTGTTATTATACACATTTTTATTAAATATGGCTGTTATCCCTTCCCCAGGTGGGCACTGCAGACCAGTAACAACTGCAGATACGAGATTAAGCTTGTGTAGCAGACTGCTTCGTTTCACCTAGAAAGCTTAAGTTGCTCAAGGATAACGAATACAAGATAATGTCGGCAGAGCTGAACAAAAACAAATTCTGTGTTGCTTTCACTCATGGCGAAACTTGCATTTCAGGTCACACTTGCACAAAGACCATCTGCTTGATGAAACACTCTTCCTTCCCAATGCATGGATTTATATCAGAATCCAAAGAGTTTTTCACATAATTATTAAGCTTTGGCAGATTTGGAACTCCAAGTTAACATCAGAGGTGCCTGCCTCATAATCTCATGGGATACACTTTTTTCAACGGGGGACAGCGGTGGGGGGAGGCAAAGTGTTAAAAAATGAAAAAGTCTTCAGATATCCTTTTTTAAAATTCCCTGCCTAAATTTTAAACACTTCAACAAACATGTTTAAATGCCTTACTAAAATGCTTTGGTGCCCAGGAGGAGATGAAGGGTGAAAACCAGACAAATAAAGGAAAAGAATTCCCTTTCAGGAGGTACCTGAAGTGTGAGTAGGAAAAAAAAAATGGGAAAGAGAAGGAGTGCTAAGGGGGTTTTATAATGTGAGGTTGTCTGAAATAAGATTGGAAGGAAGCTTGGAGACGAAAGATTTGGTCCAAGTCAGGCCTTGGAAGCATAATAAAAGGAATGTTTTATAAAAGGAGGAATCATTAGAAGGATCCACACATTCATTTGCATGAATTAGCAAGCCCAGGAGAGTATCTGAAATGGACTGCAGCGTTGACCTGAAATGAAGGTTACTGATTTCCCCGAAACACCCAGGCCTCAGTGGGCACAGGGCAGAGTCACATAAACAAACCTTTCCGGCCAGAGTCGAAAGATCTTCGCCTCCAATGATCTGCATCTCGTCCATAGACTGGTCATTCTAAACAGAAATGGGGAGATAATATTTTACTATACAAGAAAAGCTGTAAAGCACGTTTCCCCATCTACCCAGCCAGGAGCTGGATTGTGCCTTGCAAATATAGCACAAATAGCTGGTCCTGATTCATGGTTGCCTATGGTTACCAAGAGCCAGTCTCCCGCTACGGTGCTTGAGACAAAGCATCCTAATGGCTGACAGCCGAGCCTGTATGGAGAGAGGATGGAGGGAGCGGGGAGAGGACAGGCAAATCTAATTTTGGAACAAAATAAAACCATGGAAGGTGCCCGAGCCTATTTTGAGGCAGATGGAATTGGAGAAGACAGTCATGCTCCCGGACTTCCCTGGGGTGGCTGGGGCTATGGCGGGGGGAGCTGGGGAGGGGGCCTAGCGTTTGTCAGCTGTGCCAACAGCCCCAGTTACAGCCCTGCAGTGGGGAACAATCAGACTGTGGTTCCCAGAGAGGTTAGAGACCCCTCTCCTCATTACCAACGTGGGTCCAATTCCTTATCTGTATCATGGGCAATTCGAAAAGGCCACAGATCAGGAACTATTACACTTAGATCTTGAGATAAGGATGATGAAGCCTCAGGAACTTTCTGGAATTCAGGAATATGAGACTAGAATCCCGTTTAGAAGACTTTTCACAATACCTTGTAATAACCTATAATGGAAAAGACTCTGAAAAAGAATATTTTTTATATATATATATATATATATATATATATATATATGTATGTATAGGCTTCCCTGGTGGCTCAGATGGTAAAAGAACCTGCCTGCAATGCAGGAGACCTGGGTTTGATCCCTGGGTTGGGAAGATCCCCTGGAGAAGGGAATGGCTACCCACTCCAGTATTCTTGGCTGGAGAATCCCATGGACAGAGGAGCCAGGCAGGTTTCAGTCTGTGGGGTCACAAAGAGTCAGACACAACTGAGCAACTAAGACACACACACGTATATGTACACACATAGCTGAATCACTTTGCTGTACACTAGAAACTAACACAACATTGTAAATCAACTATACTTCAGTTTAAGAAAAAAGAGTTTTCACTTAAGTCCTATTAGAGATTATAAGCATTCCTTTTCACAGTATTCATATACAGGACATCATTCTGCCTCAATTAAACCACACACACACACACACACACACACACTAAAATATGGGTTGTTTCTTAGTAAATATCACAATAGAATAACATGGGGGCAGAAAAGATAGCAGAAGGCAAGCAACTTATTTTCTGGCTTCCTTGCAAAGATGCATCAGAGGAACTGAAGGGGACATCCTATAGGCAACTGGTTTCATGACCAAGCAAGACTGCGGTGACACTGCAGTCCCTTCATCCGAATGATAACCTAAGTGAGAAGACACCAAGGAAGGGAATAGACATATGATGTGCTAAACCAGGAAGTATCTTCAGTTACTGCTGTTGCTCTGGCCAGTTCAGTGCTTTTCTCTCTTATTCTGGCAAGAAGGCCCTGCCTCTTTTGGGGAGGGAGTTCATTCCCCTAAAGGAATTTTCTTGGGTTAGTTTGAATTGGATTCTGTCACTTGGAACTCAGAGTCTAGACCTAGAGATACACTGTCACGGCACTGGTCATCAGAAAAGAAAAAATAAAAAAGTCAATCAACCAATATAATAGTTTTACCAATCAAGTAGCATTTTGTTTTTCACCTTACTGCTCAAGAGGAAAAAAAAAATGACCTTGAAATGTTCTTACTTCCAGTTTGAAAGCATTTATTCCTAACTGCAAAGGAGTGGAGACAATGCTTGAAATGTTTGAAAGTGTCCCATAAGTTAGATAAAACTACTAATTTTCTTCTTATGGGAACTGATATCCAAAGGAGAAAATCAAAGACTATCCAGAATCCACTGATCTTTTGCTGTTTTTTTTTTTTTTTAACACCTTTGCTTGAGTCAAGTTTTTACTGTCCCATTAGCAAAGCAAGTCATACGAAGAAGCCCAGCATTAATCTGAGAAGTAATCATCAAGTTAACAGAACAAAGTACATACACACAGGGAAGCCATTTAATTAGGGTCATTGATGCAATCACTCTGCACAGTGGTTCAAAAACATCCTTCTATTCCTAGGATTGATGTATCCTTTTTTTTTTTTAACATCATTGATTTTGATTTGAAGATATTTTAATTGGGATTGTTCATCTGATCTTCATAAGTTAAGACTGACCTGTAGTTTCTTTTGCTACCTCTGTAGATTTTTAAAGCAAGTTATACAAGCCTCAAGAGTTGGGTGGTTCTTTGTCTTTTTTCTGTATGCTAGAAGTTTGTATATGAATGAATTTATCTATCTTGCTAAGGTTCAGCAGAGCTCAGAATAGGTATTATTTAATCCCCAATTTACAAATGAGGAACTGGAGGCAGTAAGAGTTAGAGTAGCTTGCCCAAAAAAGGCACTACTGGTAAGTGAGGGAAACCAGTTCAGTTCTAGAATTGCCTGGCCTGAGGCATTATTCTTGTGTTAACAACCCCCATCCCCCACAACATTCCTAGAAGGTAGAAATTAATAGTGCATCTTTGAGAGTATCATGGAGAAGAACTGGGTCCTGGTTGTACTAAGGAAGTAAAATATATACGCTGAAATGGCTAGGAGAAATACACACCTTGGTATAAATGCTGGTAATGGTTGTGTGGATTTATTTAAATGGCGAAGGAAGGGTGGGAGGGAGGCTCCAGAGGGAGGGATATATGTATACATATAGCTGGTTCACGCTGTTGCGCAGGAGAAACTAACACAACATTGCAATTATACTCCAATGAAAAAAATTAAAACAAATGAATAAAGAGCAAAGGAAGTCTCCGACATTTAGTCCAGGCATCCTCAGAAAGAAACATATTGGAAATTACTAGTTTTGGTGACCCGGTCTCCAGGTACAAAGAAAGAGCTCAGCATGCACAGTGGCTGCTCGTACAGAAGAGAATTTGGACTGTTGAGATAATGTTCAGGAAGACACAGAGCCAAGTAAGAATAAATATCCCGAATTCCTCTTGAGGAACGGGAAGGGGACGAGTGAAGAAAACCAATGAACAAAAAAATCACTCTCTCAGCCACTCACTTCCAAAGGCAGAGAGACGTGCTTCAGAATCCATGCACGCACAGACTTTCTCGACATTCTCAGCCTCCGCAGATGCCTTAACTTTGCTTGTTTCCCTCTTCTTTTCAGCCTCATCCTTCCTCTCAGCTCTTCTCCTCTAGTAAGGTCAACGACACTATATCAAATAGAGAGGCACACCCCCAACCAAAACAGTTCCTTATAGCACTTCCCTGTGATCAGCGGTTGAGACTCTGCCGTCAATGCAGGGGACACTCGTTCGATCCCTCGTCTAGGGAGATTCCACATGTTGCTGGGCAAATAAGTCCGTGTATTGAAACTACTGAGCCTGGGCTCTAGAGCCCGCTCTTCGCAACAAGAGAAGCCACGGCAGTGAGAAGCCTGCACACTGCAACTCCAAAGTAGAGCTTGCTCAGCGCAACTAGAGAAAGCCCATGTGTAGCAAAAAAGACGCAGCACAGCCAAAAATAACAAATAAGTAAGGAAATATTAAAAAAAAAAACACAAACAGTTCATTATAAGAAGTTTCAATGATCAAATTGGAGAGCTTCTAATGAAAAATGTTGCAAAGTGTTGAAAAATTTTTCAAAAACTCTAACATGTGGTACCAAGTCTGATAACAAGGAGAGATGAATCAGTTCCAGTGTTTCCTTTTCAACCAGTGGTGGATGTAGGACATGACCCTTAACTGGGTCCCTGAGTCCTTTAAGCCACCTAGAGTCAAAGTGGAGGTCACAGGGCAGTGGCTTCTATGTCTGCCCTTTGCTTCACCCGGAGAAGCTCCACTTATCTCTGTTGTATTAACTGGGTTCAAGGTAAGATATGCCAGGTCACTTCAGTCATATCCAACTCTGTGTGATCCCATGGACTGTAGCGCCCCAGGCTCCTCTGCCCATGGGATTCTCCAGGCAAGAATACTAGAGTGCGTTGCCATGTCCTCCTCCAGGGAATCTTCCCTCAAGGTAAGATGGTGGGAGCCAAAAAGTTTGAAAACTCCTATGTCAATATTTTTGCTTCCTTTTAAATAGACTTGCCATCTTTTTGGTTCCTGCTCATTTAAATATCCCTTTGTTTCTGATATCATTTTTGTTTAGAACCTCATTCTTACAATATGTAGATGAGCTGTGAGAAAGGAAAACACGGCAACCGGTAAAGAGGCAGCTGGTGTCCCTACATGGCCTTGGGGACCAGACTGCCCTGGGTTCCAGTCCCAGCCCCACCTTCTCCGAGTTGTCCAACCTTGAGGAAGCTACTTAACCTTTCGGCACCTTAGTGTCCTCACCTATAAAAAGAGAATGTCAATGTTAATAGTTCCTACCTCCTAGGATTATTGGGAGGAGTAAATGAATTAATATGAATTGAGCACTTAGTACCAGGTGCGTAACAAGAAGCAGTTCCTAAAGCCTTGGCTTACCTCAGGACCATCATCTACTTTTAGTCTAAGAAACTTGCATGTCTACCCAAGTTTCTCAACTTGGACCTCGCAAAGATTCTTTGCACAGTTCATTGAGCCCATGACTGATACGCGAATGCCTCGTGCTCTGAGGTTAAGGTTTCTGAGGCTGCCGGCTGGCCATGAGGCGTGTGGTTAAGGAGGACTCCTGTCCTGTGGCAACTGTGCATCAGGGCTACAGTCTTGGTTAAAAAAGCCCCACTGTACATTCCTTCAGGGTTTCTCAGTGATCCCCCAGCTCCCAAGCTGTGGTGTCTGAATCTTCAGAGTGGACCATTTTGTGGGTATAATTACCCACATCACTCCACTCTGCTGTTTCCATCCTTCTCTTCAGTGGACAGAAGCCACCTGGAAATCATGCTTGGACCAACTTTTGTCCTTATCACCTCCCATCTATTCTTTGTAGGAGCCGTTTACAGTCAGTACAGCAAAGAGTTAACCCTGAAATTGCTTCACAAGATGGCAGCTGCCATC